GTCAGCAGTTTCAGAGGCAAGCTCTAATTTTAGGTTCTCAGCTTCAGATATTTTGGGACGGAACTTGGGACACAGCAAAAGAAGTGTTGAGGAGCCATAAATCTGGATGAAGTAAGCAACACCCAGCACCTCGCGAGCTGAAGACCTAAAACCAGAAACGCTTCTATTTAGAAGAGAGAAAAAAAAGAAAAAAAGAAAAAAAGAAAAAAAAGTCTTAGCATTGGCCAGATGCTGTTTTTCTTAGTTCTTGAGGTTTCTGTCCTTCCCCACACTTCCCGCTATTCCTATTTTCGTATCGCCGTCGCTCTCAGCACTGACATTCACCAACCAATCCATGGCCTGCAGAAGCCAGGGGAGAAAAACTGCCTCTTCTCTGAGCGTGCGTGGGACCATCACAAGAGTGGTTCTGAGCACTGTTCTGAGCGTGTTCTGAGAAAGCACTCCTTGTGTTTGCGTTGTGCTCCTTGAGATGGCACCAATCTGGATGCTTTTAATTGGCAACGTGTTGCTTGTTAATGTATTTTAAATATACAATTTATTAAAAAAATTAAATACAAAGTAAACAAAATTTTTATATGCCTGTCAGGTAATACAGTTTTAAAGTGTTTATTAGATAATTCTTAAGTTTAAAATTAAATACGAAGATACGAAGCTATGAAAATACGAAAGGACGAAAATCTGGCACTATGAAAATACGAAATAGCCAACAGCTTGAAAAAGATAATTCCCAAGTTTCCCAACAAATGCCTGTTGCTGTCAGCAGAAAACAAGAACGAGCCCAAAGAACCGGTCGTTGCTGGGAGCGTTGGAGCATCGCTCGGGCAGCCCCGCGTCCCTCTGCAGCGCGCAGCAGCCCGGTGCCGGCTCGCCCCAGCTCCGCCGCAGGACCGAGCCACGGCCGGGGTAGCGGGAACTGCCCCTTTTTTACGTCTTTAAGATGAGCTCTGAAATGCAGGAGCGCTGTTTGTTTTGCAGGAAAACGATGGGGCGAAGGGGCGGTTTCAGTGTGCGGGGACCCTCGGGCTGCGCTCCGCGGAACGTAACTAAGAGAGGGAGCATCGCCGGGCGAGCTCGGCTGTAGGGCGCAGCTATGTGCATACGAATGAACGGACGGATATACCCGTAGATGGACAGATAGATGTAGCTATAGTTACATATATAGTTGTGGTTTTGTTTGTTTGTTTTCTTCACGTTGAATTTTATTCCCATTTGAATTCTATTCTCATCCGCTAAGTGAGCGAGCCACGTTTCGTGATTTGGAAGGACATTTCTCAATGCTTTTTTTTGTGTGTGTGTGTGTCAAGAAATGGAAAACGCTTTATTTTGTACAAACAAATCACGCGACCGTCCTCCCAGAGAACACCAAAGCCCGCTCCCTGCCCCCGAAACAGCTGGGACGGCGCACATAAAATGCGGTGCATTGAGTTCTTTTGGAGCCCTTCGCCGGGCGGGGCGGGAGCGGTGCGGGGCCGGGGGAAATGCGGATCCCGCGGGCGCAGCGTGGGTGCTGCCGAGCCCGGGCCGGGATAAAGGGTTTGCAGCCGTTCCTGGCGGCTGTCACAACGCGAAGCGATCACGAATTGAATTAAACGAGGGTGCCCGTTCCCCTCGAGCCGGCCGCTGCTGCTCCGGGTTACGGCGGCGGAACGCTGCGAGGGCAACGCCGGGTGCGCGTCCGTTCGGTGCGCGGAGATTGCTTCAACCCGACCTGAAATCGACGGGAGCTGCACACGGACGGAGGTTTAACTCTTTGAGAAAGTGTCGTCTGTCTCGTTAGGAGCGAGGGCTGACCCGGGAGCGGGTCTGTTGCGTGGGTCGGGATCGGGGTGAGGAGCGTTTTGACGGGGTCCTCCAGCCTGGGAGACCTCGGGTGTGCGTGTGTGTGCGTGTGTGTGCGTGTGTGTGTGTGTGTGTGTGTGTGTGTGTGTGTCCCCGTGCCCGCTCCGCGCATACAAAGCCGCTTCCATCCGCCGCCTGCGATGTGCGAATAATTTTCGTCGGGGAGTTACACGGAACGGGAAAGCTTTTAGCACATTATCCGCCCGCAATTGGGCTCTAATCTCATTGCCAGCCCTCGGGTATTAATAGAGCCTTTCTCTTCCCAGCATGGATTTGCATCGGGGAGATACCGAATCGGCCGCCTCTCTTGGTGGCGGCCGTGTTTTCCACGGCAAAAGGCAGCGAGGGGTCTTCGTGTAATTGGGGGAGGGGGGAGGAGATGGAAGTGTTTTTAAATCTCGGGGGGAAGTATAATGAAATGGCTCTGCCGTGCCAGAGGGACGCCAGCGGCAAACCCCTGGGTGTGCTACACAGAAAGAGCTGCGGTGCTCGTTTCGTGTGCTTTGCAGCACTGACGGATTTCGTTCAAACGGGTTCGCAGAAGGCGAAGCGCTCCGTCCCGCTCGGGCGAAGCGGTGCTGCCGAGGGGGGCAGCGACAAAGAGCGGTGACATCCCGGGGTTCGGGGGGCGGCGGGCACCCCCAGCCCGACATCCCCAGCCCCGGCGATCCCAGCTCGCGGCCCCGCTCCACGCGCCTCTCCGCCAGGCCCGGGTGGGGCGGCCGGAGCCGGCCCCCCGTTCGTTGCCCCCGGGAGTGGGGGGCCAGACGGGCCTCGTTCCTTCATCCTCATCAAAACCGAGAATTTAAAGGTTCTCGCCGGACGGAGAGAAACCCTGCCCAGCTCGCAGATCTGCTTTCTCTCTCTCTCTCCCCCTCTCTCGGGGAAGGACCCCGTTTGAAACAAAACGAAGCCCCACTCTGCACACGCCGCACGTTGTACCGTCGGGGTCCTGGTTCCGGCTCCTCAGGAAGGCACGGGTAGGGCCGGGTCAGACCCGCACCGTGAGCCACGAACAGTGTCGCACCTGCACTGCAGCCCCCGCTGGGCCGGGCGCTTTATTGCCCCGCTGCCCTGGACGGAGAGGAGCGGCCGGGCGGCAGTGCCGCTGCTGGGCTTTACGTTCGCCCCATCCGTGAGAGTGGCAGCCCAAAGTGCTGCCGGATCTCCTACGAGGCAAAGCGAGATCTCCTCTGTACATAGATATATATATATATATAATTTTATTTTTGTATTGAATACGCATTTGTCACATAGTGTGTATATATGCATTGAGGGAGCTCTGCTGATGCAAAGGCAGCTCCGCAGATGCTCTTCAGCGATCCCAGCAGCGCGCTGCTGCCCCTACAGCACTCCCGGACCCCGTTTTGAGTTTAGAAGGTGGAACTTAGCTACAAATTCGCGCCTGCCCTTGGCTCGTTTCGGGGAGCAAAGCCGTTCTGTTTATTTTATTCGAGGAACTTCAGTTACATTCCTGCTTCTTTATTTACGGACAAGTGCTCACATGGTGCTGTGGTGCTGTGCGGAGCTGGGATTTGGGCTCCACGGTCCTTGTGGGCCCCTTCCAACTCGGGACGTCCTGTGGTTCTGTGTCTCTGTGTCCCGAGAGCTGAAGGGAGCACGAGTCCGTTCCCATCGCCGCCCCAGAGCAGCCCTCAGCTGTGACTCTCCTGGATCTCCTCGCTCTGCGCGCTCCACCAGCAGCACTCGGTGCGGGGCTGGGGCCGCGCTGGGACTCCGCGGGACCGGCACAAAGCACGGGGGATTCCGCTACGGGAAAACCGACGCCGAGAGCGGGGCGGCCCGGGGGAGCTCAGCGCCCGCGGAAAGAGCGCGGGGACGGCCGCCCCCTGCCCACCCCTCCTCCTCCTCCTCCTCCTCCTGCATCCTCCTCCTGCTCCATCCTCCTCCTCCTCCCGCCTCCGCCCCCTCCTCCGCGGCCGCGCCGAGCCCGGGGCCCTTGACGTGTCCCGCCGCCGATTGGCCGCCGGCCGATAGCATCTCGGCGGCCGCGCGTTAAGGCGGGGGAGAGAGCGGGCCTGGCTGCAGAGAGCCGCTGCGACGGGACGGGACGGGACGGGACGGGACAGAGGGGAGAATAGCGGAGCCGAGCCGCCCCGGCGGGGCTCGCCATGGAGTACACACCGCCCCCGAAGCCGCAGCTCTCGTCGCGGGCCAACGCCTTCTCCATCGCCGCCCTGATGTCGAGCGGCAGCTCCAAGGACAAGGAGGCCGCCGAGAGCACCATCAAGCCGCTGGGTGAGAGCGGGTGGGCGGGCGGCGAGCGCAGGTGGGCGGCGGGGCGGTGGGTGAACGGGACCCGGCCCACGCTCCGGCCCGGCTCTGGCTCTTCCAGGCTCCCCGCGGAGAACCGCTCCGCCAAAGCCGCTTCTGTCTTTATTTCGTCGCTTTCGGGAGAGGCTGCTCGGAGCGCAACCCCTTTCGTGGGTCCCTCCGTGTTCCATTCCGCTGTTTTGTTTTCTCGGGTTTCGCTATTCGTAGAATAATCTCACACTCCGAGGTAGCAGCGTTTCCGTCTTCTGCTGCGACATAAAGCGCTTAAATATGCAAAGCGAATGACCCATGGTTCTCAAAGTCAAAGAAAAGAAGCCCCGGGGTACACAGGGAAGGACAAAACTGTCCGCAGCCCTCAAAGCCCCTCGTTCCCAGCGCTCGCTGCGGGCTCCGAGCGGCAGCGGCAGCCTGCGGCACCCGGGCCGGGAGTTAGGGGTGTTTCTGGCGATTCCGGGTGACTTTCGGGTGAGCGATTTGGCTTCTCTGCGATCGCCCGCATTCCCGTTCCTGACGGATATTAAAAAGACGCCTGCACCGCTCTCCGATCTGTGTGCGTCCCTTGCGCGTATCCAAGAGAGCGCAGAGCTCTACAAGAAATCAGCATCGCGCTCGCAGGGCCACTGCCCGACGTGAACGTTGGGCTGGGGGCCGGGAAGGGCCGCTCTCTGTGCGTTCCCCCCGAGTCCCCCGCCCGGGTATTCCGGGGATCCATCGCGAACTTTATTTCTTTGCTGAGGCACGGTGCAGGCCGGCTGTGCCACAGTGCTCCTGTTGGGAACATTTAAGCGGGCTAAGCTTGGCTATTTCTCTCTCTCTCTCTCTCTCTCTCTCTCTTTATGATTACTATTATTTTATTTTATTTTTAGAAACGTTCGCTTTATCGTTTTTCAAACTTTTTTAACCCATTTCCCCACGCCATTCACTTAGAAATCTAAGCAAAACGACTGTCTGTACCCCGGCTTCTATTACCCGGAGATTTGGGGGAAATCCCCTTTCCAGTCTCACTCCGGGGCCGCCCTCAGCCGTCGCGCCCCACAGCCGGGGTCGGCTCCGGGCATCCTTCCCCTTTTTTGGGGTGGATGAAGGGCCAGCCTCCCCATATTCTAGCTCAAATCACCAGCCGGAGGAGCAGCGCGGCTCTGCGGGAGCGCTGGAAGGAGGGGCCCGACCGAGCTAGAAATGCCTCCTTTTTGGAAAGCTCTTTTTTGCCGGCAGCCAGCCCGGCTCAACGTCCCCTCACTGTCTCCTTTCCCCCGAACCCCGCAGAGCAATTCGTTGAGAAGTCCTCCTGCGCGCAGCCTCTGAGCGATCTGTCCGGCCTGGAGCCCCACGGGGACTTCAGCGGCAGCCCCTCGGCCCTGTGTACCGAGCCCCTCATCCCCACCACCCCCATCATCCCCAGCGAGGAGATGGCCAAAATCTCCTGCAGCCTGGAGACCAAGGAGCTGTGGGACAAGTTTCACGAGCTGGGCACGGAGATGATCATCACCAAGTCCGGCAGGTACGGCTGGCGGCGGCCCGACAGCAGCGCCGGGGGGGGAGGGAAGGGGAAGAGTTGCAGTGATAAAAAGAAGCAAAAGAGAGAAATTTGAAAAATAAAGGGGGTGTGGGGAGGAAATAAAGATGAAAAAAGTCCCAGCTCCCGGCTGTGACCCGGGAGCGCAGCGCGAATAGGAGTGAGAGCAGCGCGCGCTGCGCTGCGGGGTGCGCAAAGGGAGAGCCGTGCGGTGCGGTGGAGCTTTGGTTGTGCCCGGAGCTGCCCGCACGCAGCTGCGCCGGGCTCCCGGCTGTGAGTGCGGGGCTGTGCCGGCACGGACATGGCACGGAAAGCGGGGATTATCCCAGCTCTCGTTTGTAAATAGTGCGCAGAAGGACTCCAGGCTTTGCTGTCGCTTCAAACCGTTTTTCCAGGGAGGTTTTCGTGTTGATTTGGCTGCGCGGGGGAGCCGGGCGTCTGCTCGGGGTTGGTCCCGAAGCGACTCGTTCGGAACCGAGTTTGCTGACTGTTTCTCTAAGGAACGGCTCCGCACCAGTGTCTGTTAAAAAAATAACCCCAACGGATATATAAAATCTGGAATTTGAAGCTCATTTAAAAAAAAAAAAATATATATATATATATGTCGAAAGTTGTTTAAAGCTGTTTCTGGTCTACGGCAAAAAGCTTACAGTGAAAAAACTGTGAAATTTGTCAAAATGTTAATGCCGAAGGGAGAGCTGAATTCTCAAAACGCCTCTCAGAAATGTTGTAGGAATGCATCTAAGATCAGTGAGCGTGTTTGCTGAATTAAGTGCTGTGTTACTGCTCTAGCTCCAGCATGTATCTCATTAAAAATAGATCTGAATCAGTATTTCTTTGGTGCAACGATTTTTTGGAAGCACAGCGTTCTGTTAATAACCAGGCAGTAATCGCTGTCTCCTTTACTTTTTCACTTTTGCCATTTCTCCTTTTGCTTTAAAGAAATCGTTTGAACTTCAAGCAGCACTTCTGTGCGTATTGCAGAGGTGCACAGGATGCAATTTCTGTCACGCTGTAGCAATATTGGTAGATGCTTTCATTTTATTTTATTTTTTTCTAGGAGATTTGAACAGAAATTTCCTTCGTAGCAGCTTTTCTGAAGCGCTTCATTCTGTCCCCTGTCCCGTATTTATTTCCTGCTTTCCTCTCTTCCAGGAGGATGTTTCCCACGATCAGGGTTTCTTTCTCGGGGGTGGATCCTGAAGCCAAGTACATCGTGCTAATGGATATCGTTCCGGTGGACAATAAGAGATACAGATATGCCTACCACCGCTCCTCCTGGCTGGTGGCTGGGAAAGCCGACCCTCCGCTCCCAGCAAGGTTTGTGGGCTCTGCAGCTGCATTTCTTCCCTTCCCTTCCCTTTATTTATTCATTACCCTCCCCCTCCCCCTCCTTCCTGAAATACCTGCTGTTAATCTTTGATGCCGTTTGCAAACAGCGCTCTGAGAGCTCGAGTCCGTGCCCGACAAACTCGATCTCAGAACTCTGATTAATTTCTGTGGTGCAGAGTGGGGCCTCAGATCTTCGCTTGAGGGCTGATTTATACCCAGTGTTCGAAGCTGAACGGGGTTTGGCCAAAAGCTCTTGCGTATTTGCGTGCGTTTCTAAAGGAAGCTGCTGGCTGAAGGCTCTTTTATGTCTATATGTATTTTTAAATGAAGTTTACCTCAATTCAGATCAGAAAAAAATTTCAGAAACCCATTGCTTTGTCCCTGGGTTTGTTCTGCCCTCCCTGCTATGTCTGACCTTGTAATTTAACGCTATCCAAATCCGGCGGCGCTGCCACGTTACAGTGCAGCACTGCTTATGTTTGGCATTACATTATTTCTTAAAAACGTGTCCAGTGCTTACTGACCACTCTTTAGTTGTCCCTTACGGAACAAGTGAAGTGTGTGTCAGTCCTATGGCACAGAGGGTTTCTTATTGAGGATCTGTGGCAGACCTTGAGACTTTAGGGGACAAAAACAAAAACAAACCCACTGACAAACGAAGCTGTTTTCTCCACACCAACACCTCTTCCGTACAGAAGCAAAATGCTGTAGGAAACGAATCTCCGTGAGCATTCCCTTACTGCTGTTGATAAATATGACTCCTCCCTGCACGGGGAAGCCGCCGTTCCAGGCAGAGTGCAGCAGTTCTGTGGCACATCCCCTGCACGGCACGGGATCACAACGCGACCGGCGCTGCTCAGCCGGAGCTGCGGCTGTGCGGAGGTAATGCCTGGCTCCATGCAGGCATCGAGGGCAGCGCCAGGTGCCTCAGCCCGGGGCTGAGATCTTGCTTATTAGAGAGAGAGACGTTAGGAGTGAAGGAAGGAGTGGCAGCGCTTTGTTTGGATGGGTTTGGGGACCGAAGGCTGAGAGATTTCCTTGTTGGAGCAGCTCTGCTGAAATCCTGCTGACTGCTCGTCTCTGAAGGCGGCTCGGGGAAGTACGCAGGAGGCGTGCAGGGAGAAGCTGTTATTAAAGCAGTAACCCAGGAGTTATGGCAGCTTTGTTTTTGTGGCCAAAAGCTCCTTCCTGCAGCGTGGTTGGCGTCAGAGGGCTTCATCTGGGGTATTGTAATGGGCACTGATCAAACCCCACGGAAAATACATGGGTCCTGCTCCAAAGGAGTCAGCATCAAAAGAAAAAATAGGGGAAGGACAGAAATAGTTTCAGGGCAGGCTTCTCCCTTTAGCATTTGCTTTTGGGGTACCCTTACATAGGCTGCTGATCCACACATGAACTGGCTCAATGGGGAAATATTCACAAGAGTATAAGATAAGAGACCGATCCTTTGAAATAATGAGCAACTCCTTTCCTGCTAGCTGCTATAGGGCTGGGGTCAAACCTTGCTGGAATTTAACATTAATTACCACTGTCTGGTGGCAGCTCTGTAAGGTTCCTGTTGGGTCAGTGCTCCTCTGTACAAACGTGTACCTCTGCTGCACATCTCATTTCGTTTTCGGGATGTTCAGCCAACAGGCTGATGGCAGACACAGGTTCCTTCTCCTTTGTATGCACGGTGTCATGTACATGCACTTTCTGCTCTTTAAATTATTCGGTAAGGAAAGCTTGGCAAGAGGTGGAGCATGCTGCTGTTTGCATTACCGATGCTGCTGGCAGAGTGCTGGTACCACTTTTGAGGTAGGAGGCCTCCATCCTGCTCAAGCAGAAAGCAGCACCATTCCCATCCTGAATGGATCTGCTTCTGCTGTGATGAGTAGCCCTGCCAGCAGCAATCTCTCACACCCCCAGGCACACAGCTGTGTCCCCCCTCACCTGAGCAGGTCCCATATTTGTGTGGGTACCACTGCAACCTGAGGATTGCTCAGGACTCCCCTTATGCCTACTTGAAAGGCTCTGCAGAATCAAACCTGTGAGTTGCTCTGCTCTTTCTTATTATAAAACTAACTTTCAGCGCTAAGCCAGCCTTCCTCAGAACTGAACAGTACACTGTGATTCCCTCTGAAAGATGAGCCCTTCAGGGAACTTGCTGCAAGAAGCAGTAATATCCCTGCCTTCCTGCTGTCAGACAAGTTTGTGCTGCAACGATCACTTGAATACAACTACTTTTCAGAGAGTCCTTTGTCAATCTGCTATCTGGAAATAGAATTCCTGTGTGATACTTCATGTTTGTTCTTCCACGTTGCTGAGGCTTTGAGAAAGAATCATCATTTTCATAAGTTTCAGCATGTACATTTGTTTGCCCCTCTTCTTTTTCATCCCCTTTCTTTCACTTATAAAGTTCTTTTCTCTCATCCCCCCCCACCACACACACTTCCGTCTACGTATTTTATTTGGCTGCAGTAAGCTGCCCATCATCATTTATTTAATGGCATTGTAGTGTTTGCATGCTTACGGGGGAAACTTTTTAAAGGCATTGTACTTTGAAAATTATCTGTTTGAGACACAGATGTAATTAAAAGCAACATGTGTAGAAGCTTTAGGGCTTGTAGGACCAGAACAGCTGCTAAGCTAAACAGAAGCAGAGCACTGCAGCACTCCCAACTATGCGAGAAGGAAACCGTACCCAAACCTGGGCTGTATCATGAAACACCGTGGAGCAAATTCACAACCAAATAAGGCTCCTGAAGCTGCAGTGAGCTCGGGCGAGCGATCCCCGCATCCGGCCGTGGGCAGCAGAGCTCACGCAGCTCTGGGGTTGTTTTGTGTGCAGCGCAGGAATGCACGCGTTTATTTCTCTAATCCACCCGCATCAGCTTTCCCTGCCTCAGAGGGCAATGCATTTAGCTCTGAGCCCTCTGCTGCAGGGTCGGGCTGCAGGAGAAGCGTGCAGGGAGGTGCGGTCAGCCAGGTGGAGCCACGCGTGCAGCGGGATTGGAGGCATGCGGTGCATCAGCATGGAAGAGCCAGGTTTATTACACGTGTGCCTAACCACTATTGGGGTGCCAATCCTTCTGCTTCTTCCTTGCGAGCTCGTTGCTAACTCGTTCACAGCGTGAGTGCTGTGCCAGCCATTAACTGTGTATGGCATAAAACAATGGTGCTCGGCTTGTAGGCACACAACAATCCTGACTCGCTCCCCAAGTGCATATTTGAAATAGTTTGGCTTTTTGGTCCCAATTAGCCAAACCTTGCTGAGCCTGATGCTCTGTGATCACAGTAAACAGCATTAGCTATCCAGACATGCAAAATTAGGAGTCAGGCACCAAAAAAAGTCATGAGACTGGCTGCAAAGATGCAGGGGCTGGAAGCGATATGGTCAGGATTGTTTTTTCTTTGCCTTCTGTAATTTGAGGCTTCGAAAATTCACTGTTTTATATAGGAAAGCAAAGTGGATTTTCATAAAAGATGTTAGGTTTTCAGGCGCACTGTTATGTCCTCACGAGCTTTGCTCTACAGCTGGGAGCAGGGAGGACCCTGTGTGTTGGGCTCGCTGGCACAGCATCCCTCCCATGGGTGCAGCTGCACCAGCCGAGCGGTGCTGTGGATCAAGAGAAGGAAAACATCCTGCCCGCCTGGAGCGAGCCGTGCCAGTAAAGCTTCAGTTTCACCAGCAGGACTGTGCCTTGTGGATTCTGTTGGCAAAACAGAGAGCCCACGATCATATCTCTTTCCCCTCGGAGCAGCAAAGCGGTGCCTCAGGGGGCTTTAGCTCAGCTGTTTGCTGATTAGGGACCTGCATGGTTCCTCAAGCAGCTAAGCCTCATCGTTTTGAGAGTTTTCTATTCTCCTTTTGCTTAACTAGAATCATGACTCAATGAAAAAAAAAAAAAAAAAAAGCAAACAAATTCTCTCTGTTGGCCAGCATCTCAGCCCTGCATGATAGAGGGAATCTCTTGGTGTGGCCAAAAACACTGTCTGTAGAGAGCCAGGCCCTCTGCAAGTGATAACACACCCCGACAGCAGCAGAACCAGCCTGGTTTGCACTGGCTGAAGCTCTAATTCAGCCCTTAATTGGCTATCTCAAAAGCACTTTCAAGTTAAATCATTTTTATCAACGTATTATTCGTATAAAATCATTGTTTTTAAATAGGCCAGCACTTGCACTGCGTCTAGTCATAATGTATATATCATTCTATCTACATGTCTTCCTTACTTCCTTTTCTTCTGCTTAATTTCCTAGGCTGTTAATTACAGAGTTGCAATTAATTTCTTTCATGTCAGACCACTGTCCTGGACCGCAGCCCTCAACCTCTTATAAACACACGTCACCACAGCCAACGTGTGATCGAATGCAGGTTAAAATCATTATCACGGCTTAATGTTACATATAAAGAAAAAATGCATTTTTATCTGCATTCCCCCATTATCTCTCTAATGACACTGTGTTTTTTCTCTTGGAGCTGCAGTCATTGTTATTTTAAGTGCTTGTTAGTACAGCTGTGGGGAAAGACGATCAATTTTTCATTTGGGAAAAGAAGCAACAGTGACCGTTAGTTAATGTCTCCATTTTAGATAACTAGATAAAATAATAGCTACGGCCAGGGAGCAATCTAGCACTTGGTCACAGAATTCTTCATTAAGTTCCTGTGAACTAAACAACTTCAGGCATCTGCTTTGCTGCCTTTCATTAATGGCATTCATTCATTTGGGCAGATTGCATGCTTCTTGCTGTACTAGCAGATCTGTATTGCCCAGAGCTCTCAGGAAACCTACTGCTGTGAAACCATGCCACATCTTGAAAGCAAAATCTTGCTTTGGATTCTCCTATGGAGATGGTCCCTATTTGAGTTGAGTTTTCATGCAGAGGCCTCTTCCCTGTGTCTTTCAGGCTGTACGTGCACCCCGACTCCCCGTTCACAGGTGAGCAGTTGCTGAAGCAGATGGTGTCGTTTGAGAAGGTGAAGCTCACGAACAACGAGCTGGATCAGCATGGCCACGTGAGTAACCCTTCTTGGGGGAAAGGACCTGGAGAAACAGCGCTCTGCCACCGCATCCATTGGGGATGGGGAAACACCTGGGGTGGAGCTGAGCATTTCAGTGAGGGAGAGAAGGGAGGACTGAGCTTTGTGCTGTGCTCCTGCCTTTGCCTTGCCGAGACTTGGCAGCAGGCTTAGCCACCCACACTGGCTTGCAGGCTTGTCCCTGTGTGCTTGGAAGATGCCTCTCATTGCAGGCCACCTCTTAGGGTTGGGTTCATCCACAGGAACTCTTTTACCTCCAGACTCAACACAAGTTGGGCGTGGAGTTAGCAGAAAAGACACCACAAGAAGGAATATGGGATTATGAAATGTGCCTCAACAGCTCTTGAGATAACTGTGGGATGCCTGAAAGTCAGCGTACCACAGCATTCACTTGTCACTCTGGACAAAACTGGCCCCAAAAGAAATTTGGTCTTGTTGGTATCAGCCTTGTGTCACGAGACCTAGCTGGAACCAAGTGGATGGGCTTATGGGCTGAGAATGGGGGAGTTAAAAGGAAAGAGTCTAAATGCAGGGTCAGTAAGCGAGGTGTCAGGATGAGGGGGCTCATTTTGAGCTCTGACACGTGCTAGGAGGTAACTGACTGGTAAAGCAGAGCAACAGGGGTGTCCATGGTGTCAGCAAGGCCCCCACAGAGTGCTGCTTGTTGCTTTTGCAGGCTGGCTGAGGTGGTAGCCAATCGCCGGAGCTGCACTTGGTGCTAACAATTCTCATCTGAGGGAAGACTTGTGATCATTTCAAGACCTAAAAATTGAATCACAGTCATTTGCATTTAAAAATCCTCCTAGAAACAAGCAACCAAAAAATAATTTCTTTAAAAAAACGCTCAGCTAGATGCCTATATGTTGTTCTTTGTTAAGCTCCGTGTGTGGATATATGTTTCTTGAATCCAGTTCCCAGCAATGCTCCCTTCCTAGCAGAGGAACTAGCAGAGGCTGTCTTTTTTTCCCCCCTCTTATTTCATAGCCTGTAGAAGGGCAAGGCTGAAGATTTGTGGGCTCTTTCACCGAGTGATGATAGAGCAGTATATGTGCGCATTTAAAAAGAAGCATTTTTCATCATAACAGGGGCCATGTGTGCCTCTAATAAAGGGCTTGAAGCAGTGTATCACACACTAGTTAGGAGCGGTGCAGTTCCCAGAAGCCCAGATGAGTATAAAAAAGAAGTCGGTCTGCGAAGCTGTCGGGAATAGGGACACATAACAGAGCAAGATGTCAGTGTTGTGCAGGCAGGCAGCGGGGGAACATGGCCTGCAGCAGAGGTGTGGCCGCCGGTTCACTTTCCAAGCGGCGGAGGTGGAAGGCTTTCGAAGTTAATGGAAAAGTTTTGCACATTTGGTTAAGAATAAGCCTGGAAGGCTTGATCCTGTGTTGAGATTTGTGTGACAGATATTATGCTATCGTGGAGCACTCCCTTTTTAGTGTTTTGCCGTGTTTTATGTTCCAAATGAGGGTGTCAGGTTTTATGTGCTGCCTTATGAAGCTGTGTAAATGTCATGTCTGGATGCTCTATAGAATGAAGGAGCAAATTCTTCCTCTGAAGCCTTTAAAGGATGTTTGCTGTGGCATGGCAAATGGGGCTGCTGAGGTCCAAGACAAGGGAGGAATGGAAATGCCTCTTTAAAATTTGCCTTTCTGTTTGAAAGAGTTGTGCTTTGCTGATGAGATCTTTTTAATTGTCCTGCTATAACGTTAATTACGTTTGATGAGGCGTGTCGCTTCCTGAGGAAGCTTTAATGACCTAAAACCTGTCTTTAAATACTAGTTATGGGTACAGCAGTTAGAACCAGCCTAATTTCAGTTTTTTCTAGCGGCTTGCTTTCTCCATCATCCAGAAGACAGTTTTGGTTGTGAAGGTAATTGCGGTGTTTTATTTGTAGAGTGCTTCAGTTTCCTGAAAAGGAATCTGAAGAAAAGAGAGGCATTTGTTTGCCTTACCATTTGTTTGTTTTCTCTTATTCTGAGACTTCTGGAGTTGGCAAGCGTTGCTGCTGTGTATCTTCAGCAGCACACATAACCCCACAGCTATGTACATTTTCTCCCCAAGCATCAAGCAGAAGTCTTATCTCTGTGTGCATGACATACAGTTTGCACCATGGAAACACTTGCAGATATCCTTACCAGAGAAAGGAAGTGGCTCTCGCCTCTGGATTTCTGCAGCGGAGCAAGTAATTCCTCTTTCTTTCTGCTTGTGATACACTGATGAGCACGACATTTTTTTGATTTCTGGTGATGGTTTTCGCATTGGCTGTTTTTTCCTGGGACTTTTGGCTGCACTCAGTTGTGGTGGCATTATTTCTGGTTTATGGTGAGGTGAATCATGAGTGTGTACATTATCATAATTGCTTTTCTGGCATTTATGATAGCAAAACTTAAACAGATGAACGTTTGCAGAAGCAAACATGGAGGTGTGAACACAGGCAACTGTGAAAGCTGGGATTTCAGAACAGCCACAGGCGGTTACGCCCAGGCGTTTCTTAAAGTTAACCTGGCAGAAGTTAGGAACCTATAGGCTTTTAAAAAGCAAACCTTGCCCAGCAGCTCTTCCTGAGCTAATGTGGAAGGTGGATTCCCAGCACAGTTCTCAAATTCTAAGGATTTTGCTGCTGGCATCCAGATTGCCTCTGGTGACTGGCCTGCCGTCGGTGGGAGCCAGTTGCCCACAAGGTCCATCTGGCCCCTGCTAATCCTAAAAGGACCTGTTCTGGCCACCTCCACACCTGAAGTGTCAGCACGGGGGCAGATGGGATGGCTGGGTAAGCACTCAATGCAGCCAGCTCCTCCAGGTTGTTCCCATCACATCCAATGATGCTTTAAGGTGGTACCTTTGTGCAGTCTCCACTGAGTGCAGCCTGTGTGACCCCTGCAGTCACAGTGCATGTCATAGCAATATTTGGCCCCAGGGGAAAAACGAGGACATGCAACCTTTCCTATTTACTGAGCTAGCACGAAGTACTGCCCTGCTTCTGCTGTGTTTCAGCTGAAGTTAACGCTTCCCAAGGAATGCACATTAGCTATTCCAGATGTACAGAGCTGGCTGCAGTGTAGTTATGGCCCCTGTAAAATAGAACCACCCACTCCTTTGCCAATTTAGTCTTGTGACTGTGATTATATCCAAAACAAGGACTGGTGCAAGCCGAACTCTGTATTTAATTCTTATATTGTAATGCTGTGGTTAGAGGCAGCCAAAAAGGCCTCCATCCCATGGTAATTCAAGCAAATGGGAATCGCTGTTTGACGCCAGTGAACATTGGAATTGGTTTGTTGGTACATTAAGTTTAGAATTATTTCGGGGGCCCACAAACAAGAATTAATGAGACAAAATGGAAAAACTTGGTCATTTGGGGTTTCTGTCCTAGTTTCCCTTCTTGGTAGTTTATGGTGAAGAATATCTATCATGTAGGTTGCTTTAAAGGCTTGCTACAATATAAAGATCTGGGAAGTTTTATTTTTTGGTCAGACAGTTTGTGCTGGCAATGGTGGTTTTTATTTTTTGGGGGGGTGATTCTTGGCTTTCTACACTCAGCACCTGCATGATTTTGTAAACGTTAGGGCTTGGTCATACACTTTCAAGAATAAAATACCCACATTTGCAGGTGAAACCTGCAAACTAGGTCCCATACAAGCAATAAGATCAGGTAGGTAACACATTTCATCTGTAGGAATAGGTACTCATGTTCCTGGACGCTTACCTGTAACATGGGAGGCAGAGGAAACCACCTCTTCAACTTCTTCTACAGCTTCATTATAGTCTTCAAGGGTCTTGTTAATCTTCCTCTCAGGGCAGTGCCATGTAACTCTTTCTTGCAGATCATTTTAAACTCCATGCACAAGTACCAGCCAAGAGTCCACATCATTAAGAAGAAAGATCACACGGCTTCTTTGTTAAATCTGAAATCCGAAGAGTTCAGGACATTTATCTTTCCAGAGACAGTTTTTACTGCTGTCACAGCCTACCAGAATCAATTGGTGAGTATAGTTGCTAATTTGCACAGATACAGTTAAATTCCACCCTGCTAAAAATTCCCTTTTTCCCCAGTCTCGTCTAGGAAAGTTTCTGATAGAACCTACCTTTCCATTCTAACAGTGGCTTTGGCTGGCTTCATTCATATTCAGAAGTCACCCTTATGTACACAGATAGTTCTGCTAACTTCAAAGGGACGTAAGGATTATTCACGGGAATAAAGATGACTTGAAAGGAGCTTTCATTTTTATTCCTTTCTTTCTATACAAGGCAGTTTGCATATTATCATTCTGTCCTTTTCTAATTATAGTTCATTAAGGAACCATTTTTATTCAAAGTGATCTTTCATGCCATGAGCAATTAGCTGTGCAATACGCTGGTTTGCACGTCACGATTTCATGGGTTTAAGAAGTTGACTGATTAAGCTTTAAGGCTCAAATCTAAAGGAAATCACCCAGAGATACGCTTTTCAGAGGCTGCCCAGATTACATCCAGATGTTTGAATTTCAATTTGCATGCCAGTGAATAATGTATACAAAATGGAGGAGATCAAAACAATGGATTGCTAATGAGTAATTTTAGGAAGTATATAAACAATTGGAAAGCAGAGGCTTTACTTACCAGTGGGTAGAGCTTTAATATTTAAGTCACTAGAAACATGTCGTTGGCTTCAGTGCGATTCAGAATGTATTTAAAAGGATGAATGTCTTCTGCATTTCAAAAAGAGAACCCTTTCCATCTCTTAATTCCCCCAAGTTAAGAAAAATTCAAGAAGTACTGTCCAAACATGTGGGCAGGCAGCATCCTGGAGTCAAAGAACCTACTGTTGTCTTAAAGAAGTCTGCGCTTCTTTAAGAAGCGCTATAAAGAAATACTAACTCATTTCCAAATGCCGTGGACAAAATGAAGCTACAGCATGAGGGTTCAAATAAGCTGTGGATGCAGCAGTTAGTTCTTGTGACAGACCCCACATCCAGCTTTAAGGCTCCAACATCTGATGTTTTGACTGTAGACTCAGGTTCAGCACACGACAATCTCAAAAAACATACAGTTTGAACATTTGGTTAGATTTTTTCCTTTTAGCTTTCTGTAGAAACTTAGTAGAACACAGGAGGCACTAAGCTAGCTAAACCTGCATTTATTTCTATAGGATAGATTTATGTTTACCATCGATATTTATGTAAGAGATGTTTCCAAACTAACCTTCCCAAAGAACATGCAACGAGTCCTGGAAAATTTCTCAATGGAACATCTCCGGAACCCCTAGAGGTTGATGCTGTCATTTTATTTATGACTAATGAAAATGGAGCCTTTTTTCATTTTTGCCATTTCTTTCAGAACTGTTTTAAGGAGGGGCTGATTACATTTCTGGAGGTTATTAGATAAAAGCTAAATACATTACACTTTCAACAAACTATCTCATAATTTAAGATTTAAAGGGCATGCATTTATTTAAACAGTCAAACCACTGCCACAGAGTTGAATTGTAGGTCAAATTTCATTTTAAAATGCTTTCTAGCAGATGTTCTCTGATTGTTTGTGAGACAGTCTCTCAGGAAAAATACGGCCATAAATGATTGCGAGTCTCATCTGGCTTTGGTGAATACAAAAAGTTTCTCTTGTGATGTCATACCAAATTTTTAATATTGGGAAAATGGAAGTATGATTGGTGAAAATACACTCAAGAGATGAATAGAAATCCTCACGATTCTGCAGTACACTTGGCTCGGCGTGCCAGTGATGTAAGTCAATCCAACTAGTTAGAGCTTGTCTTTTTGCAAGGTAGCTTTCAAGTCCTGCCACTAAAATGTTCCCCATACGTGAGGCAGCAACCTGCTGCTCTTCCCAGCATTGCTGCAAATCTGGCACATAGGCTTCTCAGGAGGTGGATGACACTGCACCTGGCTTGCTGAGCTGTTGCAAAGCTAGTATTGAGGATAGTTGTCCCTGAGAGTGTTTGCAAGGCAGAACAGCCCCAAAACCTCAGCCAACGCTGGGGTCCGGTGCCATTTGACCAGCCTCCAGTGGACAGCCGTGGGCTTGATGGCAACGTGATTGTCTAAGGATTTGGAAAAGAACCCTTTCCTTTTTGAGTCCGTAGGGCCATTCTTTAAAAAAAAATGGAGCTTCTGTGGCACAGGGTTTTGGGGTTGGTCTTTTTTTTTTTTTTTGAGGAAAGTCGGGCTGAAACCACTGCTCCACTGCTCCGTAGGCAGTGTTGATTTTCATCAATTGTAGCTGAAGTTGGTGGCTGCCCTTCAGGTCAGACCACATGTTGTCCCTCTGCTCCAAGAAAAACTATAACTCCCACTTGCTGTTTAGCATAAATGGTAAATCCAAATACTGTTTTGATTGTCAGAGAATCACAGAATGGCCAGGGTTGGAAGGGACCTCAAGGATCATGAATCTCCAACCCCCTGCCACATGCAGGGCCACCAACCTCCCCATTTAATACCAGACCAGGCTGCCCAGGGCCCCATCCAACCTGGCCTTGAACACCTCCAGGGATGGATGGGGCATCCACAGCCTCTCTGGGCAGCTGTTCCAGCACCTCACCACTCTCTCTGTAAAGAACTTCCCCCTGACATCCAACCTAAATCTTCCCTCTCTCAACTTCAAACCATTTCCCCTTGTTCTGCCATTTCCCCTTGTCCTTCTCTCAAGTGCTACTCACCAAACTTTTTTTAACTGAACAGCTAGAAAACTGCTAAGGCAACGGTGTGTTTTCCTGTTCCCAGAAACACAGTGGAAGCCCCCATCTCTTCCAGGGAAGTTTCACTGCAAAGTTCAGTGCATCCCTGGTGCCACAGGGTGTCCTGGTCTGTGGTTACTCTGGCAAAAATAAAGGCTGACAAAGTGTTCAGAGTTGTAGGGCTGCATTTGAAGATGGGAGGGGAGTTTTTCTTTCAAGAGATCTGGCTTTGTAGGACTGACTGTTTTAATGGGGTTACTATTTTAACCTTTCCCTTCCCTTCCCTTCCCTTCCCTTCCCTTCCCTTCCCTTCCCTTCCCTTCCCTTCCCTTCCCTTCCCTTCCCTTCCCTTCCCTTCCCTTCCCTTCCCTTCCCTTCCCTTCCCTTCCCTTCCCTTCCCTTCCCTTCCCTTCCCTTCCCTTCCCTTCCCTTCCCTTCCCTTCCCTTCCCTTCCCTTCCCTTCCCTTCCCTTCCCTTCCCTTCCCTTCCCTTCCCTTCCCTTCCCTTCCCTTCCCTTCCCTTCCCTTCCCTTCCCTTCCCATCTTTCCATGCAAAACCAGCTAAACTGCCCCTGTGTGATGGGAGGTAAATCTGGCTGAGAATATTTGCATGACAGTTAAAAAAAAAATAGGAAAAAAAAATGGGGCTGAAGTCTGCAGGCAGCTTCCCTCGGTTTGGACATAGCTGATGTGCAGCTCCACTGGAGAGGCTCAAATGCTTGCAGCGTGCTGTGCTTTCTCATGGATAAAAGCTACCTGATTTGTGTTGTCTGGAAGCAATAATGCCTCATGTGGGTGGGTTACTCCTGCTCTGGGTAATACAAAGTCTGAGCCTGCTGTACCCTTTGGTCTTTCTGCTCTCGTATGAATTATATACATGGCTTTGCAGCACCTCAAGAGTTGTGCACACACATGAAGAACATGGATACAACTAGTGGTGAGGTCAGGAGAATGGATAGGCAAACACTTTGTACACTGCCATACTTTAACACTGTTTTCATGTTGCGTTGCTTTTTTCTGTGTTTCCAGATAACCAAGTTGAAAATTGACAGCAACCCTTTTGCCAAAGGATTCCGCGACTCTTCCAGACTCACTGATATCGAGAGGTAATGGGGACTTTCTGTTTACTTTCCATGCAGATAAGATAAAGAGAAGGGAGAGTTTGTAGGAAAAGCATCCTTTCAACTCCTGAGAAGCTGTGCATTTTAAAGTTATCTTGTTGCATATGGTAAGCCTCCTGCACCTCCTTTAAAAATACTTACAAACTTTACGAAGAAAGAGCTGTGCTGAGTTTTGACATCTGTTCCAGTTGAGGCCAATATATTCATCTTCCTGATGGGGCTTCTTGAAGGGGGAGACAGTCAGTTTTAAAACTTTAGAATGAAAAGCTTTTTTCTTATCTTGCCATTTAATCCTATTGAGGGCTGTGAATTGGGTCACTGGGAAACAAGGGCAGTGGTCCTGTGAAAAACATCTTTATAGCTCCTCACTGCTTCACACAGTGGAAAAGAGAGGGGGAGCTTCCCAAAATACACTTCAGCAGTCCCAGACACTGAAGTCAGCAATTATTGCCATCAGGACAAATCCCATAACTCCCACTCTGACGACAAAGATGCCATTTTTGTTTCACCAAAATTGTACTGCATGCTTCATCAGGGGAAAGCTTTATCTGCAAACTGTGGAGTTTTGTGTGTACAGATCATTATAAGCAACTGCTGCTATAGGGACAGAAGCATTAACCCACAGCTGAGTAGGAAATAAACTCTGATCTCTTGGTAGCTCTCCAGTGCTTCACATTTTTATGATATCGTGTCGAACGGTTTGGCAAATGAAGTAAATTTAGCAGCCTGTGTCCTTTAGGCTGGAAGAGAACTTGATGGAGATGGATGTAGCACATCCAAATTTTCCTATATGATCATGAAAGTAAACTGGGAGAGGCCAAAACCCTCCAGGCTCCTATTTGGGAATATCCAGATGTATCTGTGATTCATTTTCCATGGGTGCACATAGGGGACAAAACGGAATATGACTTTATTGAGCATATAGCTAGAAAATCTCCTTACAGCAAAAGTGCATAAATCCAAACAAATCTATGGCTGGAAAGTGTTGATATAACTTATACCTTACTCCTTCTGGATCATTAGTGATCTGCTAAGTTGCTGGGTGAAACAACAGTAATTCTGAGAAAAAAAGAAGCATGTGAATAATAATGCATGCTTGCAAAGCTGTTAAAAATTTCTTTCTAGGTGAAGGACTTTTAGATGAAAATGGAGAAAAGTAACATAAATTTAACTAAAATAGCATAGCCTGGTTTCTGGACAGAGCACTAGAAAACAAACAATGTGCAAAGCTCAGGCAGGAATGCAGGAAATAGTCAAGAAAGGACCTGTAGGAAGAGAAGAGAGCTTGATCCTCACGTTTCAGTTTCTTTGCTTTACAGACAGGCAAGATCTAATGACACAGCTTTGCAAGAGCTGAGAGAGTCTGAATAGATAGATAAGCGGGAAGAAAAACTGAGTTACCTCTGTGCTGATGAACTGACCATCGTGGTGCTGGGTATGAAGGGAATTTTTCCAGAGGACATTTTATTATAACAGCACATGGCACGAAGTCAGAAATGCTGAGCATAAACCACAGTGCCCTTTTGTTTATTGATAAGAATAGAGCCTGAGACAGGCAGCCTAGCCCAGGCATGAACGTTGCCGTGAAAGATAAGGTATCCAAATGTGAAACCTACAATAAATACAAAAACAGACCGTGGAAAAGTATTGAAATACCATTAAAACTCTGCATTTGAGGGTCTAGGTTTGGATACGATCTTATTTTCACTTAAATGGAAGCATTTAGCTCTGGTTAGGGCACAGTGGTGTTTAAGAAAAAAGATCTGCTGCATTGTTTATCAAGTAATATGACAGTAAATGTGTGATACACAAGGGGGCTAGCTAATAGGAGATTGATTTCCTAAGTTATTAGATACAGTCCAGACATACCAAAGGCTTTATTCATTTCCAGCATTAAATAATCAGGCACATAAGAATGTCATTTTCAAAGTGCTCACTGTTCTACAGCTTTCATCTTAGCACCAGCAATATTACTTAAATAAACGTGATGTGAAGCAGGAGAGATAGCAATGCGAGGTATGACACAGGAAGGGTTTCCGGGCTTACGTCCAATGAGGTGAGCATTACAAGATGCAGGGGATGCACAGGATAGAGCAGTGTGATTCTCCTTCAGTCGAGTTGGAAATGTGGTACGTTTGGTAAGACGGCCGTGTGATAAGAAATACTTGCAGACACGTACCATGTGTATCTGTGCCAGGGAAGGACTGTAGTGCAACTGCACATTTGCCCAGCTCTTGACCTAGAAGCTGTGAACCTGTCTTGCATGCACTTCTTCCTAAGATAGCTTGCATACAGCGTGTGCATGCATAATCTGCAATGCTGTGCGGTGATCTTAACGGTTTCCTGTAAAGCTGCCTGTGATGTTAGGGCCAAGAGAGCACTAATTTACCACAAGTTCCAGCTTTTCAGAATGACCTAAGTAGTGTGAAAGTGTACAGAGCTTTGTATTTCATTTCCAGGTATTTAAGCCTGCTTTTTCCTAAACAGCCTTTGGGGAGGGAAACAAATCAGATCAATTGATCTTTAGAGACCTAAAGAAATTAAATTAGTCTGGAGTCAGTTACTGCACTAAACCATCCGGTAATTGGATTGCTCCTTGTAACTGATTGAAAACAGCCCCTATCTGTAACAATATAGGGAGCTTTTCTTTATAGTAGATCTGAGAGAAAAACACATCTTTTTATGACATGATGACAGAAATTGCACTTTTTTAACCTAATTGAATATGATCTTATAAATATGTGACTTTAACGATTTCAAGCTTCCCATTCTAGATTTACGATCTCTGTGTAGGAAATTCAAGCTGCAAATGCCTTTAGGATTAAATTTGTTTGCATTATATGTGTTGGAGTTATAATATATGTAAAAGTAGTCAGGTTTGCAAAATGATAATGGAGCTCTACAAATGCAAAGCTATTCAAGTTCCTACATTTTCTTTTGTTGTTGTCTAACTGCCTTACAAACATTTGCTAGTACTCATGGCTATCTGTAAAAGCTTTTCACTGTTCACTTGGTATATATTGAATTTTCAGTAGGATGTGAGATTCCTTCCTTCCACAATCAACTCTTTCCATACGTTACTTGTGGTAATCTACTTATGGCAACAGGACAGGCTTTATCTATGGCTACTGAGATTTAGATAAGTTCTGACTCACCTTTTGATCTTTTTTATGTGGTATTTATTTATTTTTTCCTATTATAAAGAAGGCTTCTGCGGTGGTTGTGATTGAAAAACCAAACATTTAGCTTCAGTTACCAGACTGTGTATCTTGATGTTCTGCGGTGCTGACTACAAAATGCCAAGCACAGTAATGCGGATGATGAGAAATCTTTTTTAATGGCAACCTGTGTTTAATAATAATAATTAAAAAACAAAACCAAGCAACAACAACAAAAACAAATAAACCAAAAAGTAATGCAAGTTTTATGGGCAGTTCACTCTGCGGTTAAGTTTTAAGGGAATATCTTTATGCTTCTGCTAAAGTAAAACTGCCAAGCTCATAAAAGAGGCAAAAACAAAACTCAAACAGAATAGATTCAGAATTTGTCTTCTGAGTTATGATAAAGGTGGCCTTTCAAAAGTAAATAAATAGCTAAAACTATTAGAGTGAAGTGTCATGCAAACAGTCCAGTGAAATGAGCGATCGTTTGAAGAGCATGAGTTGCCTGAACTACTGAATTGTAACCTAATGATCAAACAAGAATTGACACAGCATAATTATGACTTGAATGCTGCTGGGCTGTTTTCTCCAGCATGTGATAGGCAAGTTCAGGTTGTGAACTTGAGACTGTTAAAGGCAACTAAGGGAGTATACCCATACATACAAGCCTTTCTGGGAGATAGAGACTTGCTTTAAGGAGATAATGGGAAAGTCTGGCTGCACAACCAAGTGATTTCTAGGCAGAGAAAGCAAGGAGTGGGGGCTAGGGGAAGTAAGAGAGCCACAACCCAGCATACCAGCTAGATTTGCACAGTAATCAGATTCTGAATTTCCCCCTGAGGAGCTTCGTGTCTGAAACGTGGAGATACATTGTACTGCCTTACCAGGCTGCAAGTGAAATGGATGCTGATGCCCAGATACAGGTAGTGTCTCACTGAAGTAGCAGTCAAACCATGTACTTCATGTGCTGTCAGCAGCTGTCTCTGCTCCCATCCTTTCCTTGTTCACCCTACAGAGGCTACCTTCCTCCCTGCTCCCACTGGTTACTGCTAGCTTAGAGGAAAGACCCCAGCTTGCTGCCAGAAATGCATACCCTCTGTCCATGCTCGAGTAGGGCTTTCCCATAGCTGTTGTTGATGTGGGGAGAAGTGATGTTCTGAGCTTAGGGAGAGACACTGGGTGCAGCAGTACCTAAACGCCTGGTGACTCATACTTGTTGCAGATGTGCTGAGGTTATTCCAGCAACTGCTGCTGCAAGGGGCTGGATTGATTATCTGTAGCTTCTGTATTCACCTTTCCAGACCTTGCAGGAGGCTTGAATGCCTTAGGATACGTAGTGAGCATTACCTGCCTACATTTAGGCACCTGGAATAGCTGAAACCTGAAACATTCCCTTCAAATTTGATTCCTCCAACTCTACTTCCTGCTAGCAGTCAACTCTTCCTTTTCTCCAGCATAAACCCTTCCTTGCTAGCTAAAACCTCTTCAGTTCCCAAGATTTTAAGCATTAACTTATTTTCTAGTTAGGCCTGCTTTTCTGTTATCTCCTTCTTGTGCAAAGTTGTATGAAATATTTTAATTTGCTAGTGTTTTCCGCTTAGCAGTGCATGCCAAGCAGGTGGGATGATGTCAAATCCCATCCACCACTTCCATCTCAGGGAAGATTTTCCAGGAGATTTCCCCAGGCCTGTGTGTCACAGTGCTGCTCTGCCTTTACCTTGCATCCTCTGCCTGACAGTCACAAAGAACTGATAGAACTCCTTTTCAACCCAGGCCATTGTTTGAAATGTATTTTGCAGGGAAAAAGATACATAGAAAGAGCTT